TTTGACGAGCTGCATGTGGGCAGAACCTTACCTTTGATGAGGTACCGGTGACCTACTGGGTTGACGAATCCAGCAGGGAGAGTCCGGAAGAGGTACTCGTCAAAGTCCGGCGGGGTAACCATGGCTAGTACGGTGTGACTTGGTAGAGTGGGAAGATTCGGACGGAGTATCCGAGTTGAGTGGTTTGAGCTTCTCTCGTGTGTCAGTTGTCCTGTTGGGATGATTTTCTTGGATTTCCGGGGACGGAAATCGTTTAAGGAGGGCAGACTGTAGTGCCCCGTTTATTTGTGGATTATTTGAGAATTATTATTATTATTATTATTGATTATTATTATTATTATTGTGATATTATTAATATTATTGCTATTATTAAATGTCCGAATATTATTGCTTGCCAAATTGAAATTAATTGCTAACTGTATATTTTAATTATTAATATTAATATTATTATTTTAAAACAATGTGTAAAATAATATCCGAGTGGTATTTATTTAATCGTGTGATTTAAACCAGCCCATGAGCCAAACCCGCAAGCCGAACCGACCGGCCCCAAGACCCGGTTCTCTCTAATCACTTGTGTGTGTATGTTACTTGAGGAATAAGAGGAGAACCCTAGGTCTATTAATCTTGCGCTCAACTCTCACGATCAATCACTCCCGCAGCTTTTCTTCATCCCACTTTCTCTCTCTCGTTTTCGCTCAGCAGATAAAGGAGAGAACTTTTCTCTCTCACTCGTCGTGTTCCCTTCACCATAAAAATCCGGCCACCATCTCTCCCTCTCGCTCAATATTTGAGCAGCCGCCAAGAAATCGCCCTCTCTTCCTCTGTTCGCGAATCGACCAGTTCCTAACCGCCGGCATCAACCGCTACCGAGCCCTGCCGACGATTCCACGCCGTGAGCAAGCCCTCACGAGCCCTTCACCGGCGTCCTCAAGCATCTCCGCCTCGATCCGACCTCCGGCGAATTCGGGCCTCGAATTCTAGCGACCAGCTCTGTACGGCGACTCGTTCTCGGGGCGTTTTAATCTCCTTTTCACGGGCGACCATCCTCAAACCTCGTCTGACGGCCAAGCAAATTTCCGGCGAGAAGGCGAGCAGCGACCCTCGACCTCCGACGGGGCTGCGACCATCGCGAGTATCAACGTCCACGAGCCGCAATTTTGAACTCCGACCCCGTCTGACGAGCCGCTGCCTTATACAGCAAATTGCGGAATCCCCCGAGAGTTGATGACCGAAACCAGACGCAAGCCACCGCAACCCGAGCTTTTCCGACAAGGAGCAGCAGCCGCTCGAGGCTCTTATCGAGCAGCTGTCGTTTCATTTCCGATGAACAGCCGCTTTTTCGGGCCCTGGGCAAGAAGAGAAGCTGGTTGACCATTTTGCCGAGAGCCCGAACAACCTGTTTTCCACGTCCGGTTACCGAACAGCAGCCCGGGACTTGTCGACCGTCTCCAGGGGATGTCTGTCAAGCGAACCAAGTCCCCTCTCAGCCGAACAGCCACCAATCGAGAAGTCTCGAGAAGGTAGATGGCTGAACTCTTATGTTTTTAATGGCTGAGATCCATACCCTCTGTTTTGGTCGAGTTATTGTGTTTTGTGCCTTGGTTGTTGGAGTTAATTCGAAGCATTGAGCATGTACTTATGGGTTGGAAACATTTGTGATTCAGTAGAGAACCAGGTGCATCTTTGAATTATGATATGGCTCCAACAGGTGGTTCATGTTGAGACAAGGAGATGATATAAGGATGGATGTGTTGTGATTTTGATTCTATTTGTTGTGTGGTTTATTTCTGTAGTTACTGTACATGTTAGTATGCGGTATTTGATCATTTGTAGAACCTTGTTGTTGGATAAATCGGAATTAGCATGTGACTTAAAATGTGAGAGAAGAAAATGAAGCTAAAATGTATATTGGTGTGACCGTGCTGTTACTTTTGGTTTGCCGTCGAAACCATGTGATTATTATTGTTGTTCTTATGCTGATATTATAGCCTTAAATATCAGTTATTATGTGGCTGTGAATGTGTCAAATGTGGGAGAGTAATAATGTAGGAAGGAAGACACGTTTGTATGGTTGTTTTTACCTTGTTAATTGCCATTGTTTCATGTGACGAATTTATGTCATCTTGCAGTGACTTAGGCTGAGCTATAAATGTGAGTTTTATGTTGGAGATGATGATTGTTTTAAAAGCCTTAAATCTCAGTTTATAAACCTTAGCAAGTATGTTTATGTTTGAGAAAAAGAAAAAGAAAATGAGGCATGTTATGCTTTTGTTTTGACATGATGTTGAGCATGTTAATTTGTTAGCTTTGTGGCGTTATCAAGCATGCTGAGAATATGAAATGTGTAGGCTAGTTTGTTGTTTTAGCTGTGTGCTTTTCCTGGTTATTTGACATTCTTGTTTATGTATTTTGTTTGTTGTTGTTGTGTGGCCCAAACAGTGGAGTAAAAAAAAAAAAACCTTAATAATAGTAAATCCCTAATTTTTAGGTTGAGGAGTCGAGCCCTCGACCTACGTTCTTCAGCTTGTGTGCTATCTCTTCCGTTGATTCCAGGTGGGTACATTTATGATGTATTCCATAATTATCGCACTCCTTATTTTGTGTAATGTTTCTTTTGAAAATTTTTGTATGCATGAGAACTCTAGTCTAAGTGTCCCGAACGCTAGTGCCTTGATGAATGCGAAAACAGTAGGAGGTCGCCTGCCCGTTGTATCCGGGAGGGACGCCCCATGCCGTCGTATCCGGAAGGGGAAAAACATCTCTGTTATCTCCTGGAAAGGATCCTGCGAACCGTTGTACCCGGGGGTGGGAATGTTTCCAGTTACAGCCATGCCGTTGTATCCGGAAGGTTGTTGTATGTACATAGGAGGTTTGCGATAGGGCTGGGTAGGGGGTTTAGGCTAGGAATTCTGTGCATACCGATACTGGAACTGTTTTACCGTGATACTACTTTTAAAATAATTATACGGAATAACTGTGCGATAATGGTGAGCTAGTTGGTTGCTCACCCCCATTATTTTCTTGTTGGTTTCTCTCTTCCTTTGTTTAGGTTGAGACGAGCTGGAGGCTGTGGCGTAGGACGAGCGAGATGGTGGTCATATGTGTTGAAACCTATGCTTCCGTATAAACTGAATGTTTATTTATTTGCTATTGCACTTGGATTATTTGTTTACTGCTTTCATTTTTTTGGACTATGTTAAGATGGGTGAACTTTGAATAATGCTAGACCTTTTGAAATGGTTTGAGACTTATGTTTTTGGGATTTGTTAGCTCGAGCATGTGTAGTTCCCTTGTATTGTTGGATGTGTGATGTTTGTTGATGTTAGTAGGTAGCGCCCGTTTCTTGATAAAGGTTTTAACTTGGATTTAAAAAAAAATAAAAATTATAACTCTGATTTTTATTAATTAATTAATTCGATAAATTCTTTAAAATAAAACGGGGCGTTACATGTCGCCTCCTCATTTCTTCAAATGACAATCGCTTAACCTCCGAGATTGGTGGGCGAGACGTACTCGGTAGTCGCGCATTAGGCCAAAGTTGCTTGGGCCCGGTGGCACGCGGCGTGGCTCATTGAATCGCGCGTCCGCTCGTCCCCTTCGAGTAGCAGCGAGGTGATCGTCATGGCGTTAGGCCACCTCCGTGGCCATGTGCATTGAGTCTGGCCGTTCCAAGCGTACCTCTGCAGCCAATTCGAATCTCAGCCCTCCTATAAATGCCCCAACGAGCGCGGCCTCAGGCTAGCCGCGGACGCGGCACGCTAAGCGCTCGAATTCCTTTTAGTAGTCATGTAGGCTACCCGTTTGCCGGACGCGTGAGAGCACCTCATCGTAATTGTGGTAGTCCAATGTCCCGAAACGAGTGAGTAGCTCGCGTTCGAAGTCCTCCCACCGGATCACTTGTTGCCTGCCACGACAAACGCTTGAAAGCCATTGCCACCATACGTTGACCTCACAATCTAGTTAATAGGCCGCGTATCGAACCCACTCGTGCCTAGCGGTTTTGTTAAGCTCGAAGTATTTTACGGCCTTATTGAGCCATGCATCGGGGTCGGCCCCGGTGAACGTGGACAGCATGAGCCTCGACTTGTCGAGCCGCAGATGATCATGATTATTTGAAGCCTGTGACCACTGCTCGTACTCCTCCTCCTGCTCGTGCTCGCCATGATGCTGGTCATGTCCCTCGGGTCGTTCGCGCTCGTGCGGTCGCAGTGGTGGCTGTTGCTGCGCTTGGTGTTGGATGTTGTGCGGCTGTTGTCCACGGCTTCGCTCATGCTTCGGACTTGCACATCTAAGTTTTCGAGCTTATCCTTCATCTCTTTGTTGGCCATGTCTTTGCATTCTTGCCTACGTTCTTTACTTCGTGGACTCGTGTTGGAAGGTTTTTTTTTTTTAAACATCGAAAATCAAAAGAATGTGGAAGAAAAAGACACACGATCTAGCACCTCTCAATGAAAGAACCAATGATGAAGATCGCGTGTGTAATATCCCATTCAGTAATTAATAAAAGTAACTATTTTAGTTCTGACTTTGAACTAATTACTTTTATTAGGAATGCTCTTTCCTAGTTCCGAGCCCAGTTATTAAGTTATTCAGTTCAAAGTTCGACTTTAAGTCGAAAGTATTCTTGGTTAAATTCTATTCAGTAATCGAGCCAGTTCAGTAATTAATTAATATCGGTCTGTTTATTTTTATAAATGGATTTATAAGACGAGATTAATTATAATAAGATGATGAATAATCAAAATCGAGTATATTTTGATTAATCGTTCAAGATAAGTCATGAACCGAACCAAGCATGTTCGGTTACGAGTCAAGATTATTACCTGAGCCAATGATTCTCGAGCCTAGCTTAGTTTTGAGTATTGATCAAGTTATAAGGATTAATTAGATTAATGTCTATTGAAGTGAAATAAGTTATTTAAGATGAAGTTCAAGTTCAAGTAACATTCCATTTTATTTAGCTAAAAAGATGTAAATTTGGCCATCTCTAGTTTGAATGAGAAAGAAAAAGAATAATGAGTCGAGACAAGTTAGGTCTCGAGTTCGGTTAAGTATCCATGAACATTTAAGTAATAAATGTTCAAAGAAGTGAGATAATTTATTCATATATTTTAGTCTATTTAAATTATTAGAGAGAAATATGAAATTTTTAGAATTTTCGTTTTTTTAGATGAAATGTTTAGACCGCATGTATGTCTAGATGATTTGATATGCAAGAGTACTCAGTCTATGATCGAGTTTTTAAAGTGAAATTTTTATGTAAAATTTCCACATGGGTGATGAACAATTTGACCAAGTTTCAGCTTGATATGTTAAGTATACGATTTTATAAAATTGTTTGAAGTCTCGCATGAAAATAACATAATTTCATGTTATGATTAGTACTTGAGTTGAATGTGCTTTAAATTCGAATTTTTAGTACCAAATATGTTTAAGCCGAGTTTGAAAGCTTATAAATTATTATAAATCATGTATATGATGTTGGTAAAAGTTGAACACGTTTTGAGTTCATGTACTCGGTTATATAACATGTGAAATTTAGCATATTTTCACTCCCGAGTCATTTTAAGTTACATGCGATTATAAGGCAATATCCAAGCCTTAGAAGATATGATTTATATGTGTAAGTATTCGGCTGCGAGTAAAAGTTTAAGAAAGTTAAGTTGTTCGGTGACTTAGTATCCATTCGAGCCATATCGGCCCTATCGAACCACTTTAAAATCCAGATAAGTTATCAGTTAAAGACAAGCATCTTAGCATCCTATTGGGCATATGAGCATAGTACTTAGTATATTTGTTTATATTTTTCTGTAGCTTGCAGATACAGCTGCCCAGCACAACACTTACAATTTTCAAAAGTTTTCAAAAGAAGAAAAGGTGGGGACCTAGAGTGGGTATTACATTGAGTACGATATTGATATCATCCGGTTTATAGTTGGGATGAAGGCCCTCAGTTGCCTCACAAGTACATCCTAAGTTCTGATGGAGGCCATTAGTTGCCTTAGAAATATCCATCAGAGTGTGCACATGTACCCGATTAGATATCGGCCAGTTACAGATTCAGTTACAGTTACCGATCAGATATCGGTTATCGGTCAGCTATCGGTAATGAAAAGTTTATGATATCTCTATTTCAGTACTCATCCCCATAAGTTTTATTTTCAAGTAAAAGGGTGGTGCAAAGGTGTGAGTTGAGCAGTGGTGGTGATGGTCGTGGATGCAAATAGTTGCTATTTTATGTGGACATTTATTTATACATTATGTATAATATTTTGTCACGCTTTTCACATTTTCCGCTACGCATTTCAAGATTCGAACTTGCATGTTAAGTATATCCAGACTTACATATTTTCACCATTTCAACAGTATGAATATCGTCTAGTTTACATGCGAGTTGATTAAATCTGTTTTCTTTATTTATAAGCAAGTAGTTAGACAAAGTTAAAAGATAAACATAGTTTCAGAAAGATAAGTTTTAGTAGCATCCCGAGTTAAGTGCAAAAGATTTCAGAAAATTTATAAGTATTTTCCAAATAAAAGTTGCGAAAAATTTACTCTGATAAGCAGGGTGTTACAGGTGGTATCAGAGCTAAAGTTAGGGGCTCTGTATTCTAAAAGTTTATGTTTGAGAAAGAAAAGTTTTAGGAAAACCCGACCACACCACTCTCACACCTCACTGACTACTAGGTAAGTGTTGTTAAAAGTTTTTATGAAAGTTTTAAATATAAGCAAATTACTAAGTCTATGGTCAATAGGATTTAGATATCCGAACCCTAGAAATCAGACTAGATGCTCAGATCAGTATCAAGTACTCCTATTTGTATCAGATTTATACTTATGCAGAACTCTATTTCGAACTTTAGTTTGAACTCTAGATTAAAGTAACTCGTTAAGAAATTGTGCCTTATCAAGAAGTTAGTGTTGCCTTTTTAGTAGTGAAAAATTCAACTTCTTTTCTGATCCAGATTCAGTTAATTAACAAGATGGCACATTCCAGAGTGAAATTCTTTGACCTAGAGCAAAGAAAAGATTGAAATATTCTAAGTTATGCCATTAGACTAAGTTTAAAGTTAAATTCTGACTCTAGAGGTTGTTTTATTATCAGAAGTAACAGTTTCCAGTGTATAAGAGACACGTAGTCGGGTATACCATGGAGTCTTGAAGCTGGACCGGAGCAGTATAAAAAGTAACAACCTTCAGAGTCAGTAATTCGAGTATCTTACCAGTTCGATACTTTGATCAGAAGTTGAGATCAGTTATGTACTTGCGGGACCAGTTGATACTTGAATAGCCTACATAGTACCTAGTCGGAAGGTTAAATTCCTGAGTTTAAGGCCAGAAGTAATCAATTGCGAGAAGAAGCATGAAAGAGCAAGTGAAGAAGAGTTGACATCAAGATGTTTGATTTGTCAAATTGATTAAGCCATACAATAAGTATTAGTCAGCCTTTTAGAGATTATAAGTACTCACTTGCAACCAGAAGCAAGAAAGAACTTGTTTAAACTAATGATGCATGGTTTGCTCGAGAGAAGTTGGCTATATAAAGAGATGTTATAATATGGCCTAAAATGCACACCCGAGAGCATTTTCGAAGAATACATGAACTTAGACCCATAATTTGAACTTGGTATGATACAAGTAACATCATACCACGGTTAGAATCATATTACCCTTTGATTGCCCGAAGAAAGTTGGCAAGAAATTGGTGTTGGTTCGGTCCCTTTCTCTTCCTCGCGCGCGTACGGTGAGTTTGGATTAAAATATCTTAATCTTGTTTATTGTTTGCTTAAGGTATGCTTAGGAAATAACTTAGGTAATATGCTGAAATTATGTCCCAACACTTTGATTTATAGGCGTGAAAATGGAGCAAAATGAGATAAATGCTCACGGCCAATGAGCTCGTGCCATTTGCCGCGTCCTAGGGCCACGAGGTGGACTTTCCTTGGCTTAGTCGCCATTTACTTGGCACAAAGAGGCCACTTGGCTAGGAATGATAGATATCACGTGAATTTGCCCCAAATTTCCATCCACTTGAGTTCATTAATTAGTTAAGCACGCTTAGGGCTCGATTATGCGTGATTACCCTAGATTAAGGCGATTAGAAGAAAATCAAGCACCCTAGCCGTGCCATGAGCAATGTTTAAGGACATATGATAGTAGAATGATTACTTAGGCATAAAATGAACATAATTGAAGTACTTAAGGAACCATTAAGTACGATTATGCGCATGATCACGCACGATTAGCGCGAGATTAACATATTTACCGCTCGATTAAGTACGATTTAATTCTATAATATTTTTATCGGGCGATTGAATATAAATTGACTTATACTTTACAAAACTAACGACATAATTTACATTAGGTAAAAATGGGCTATTACGTCACGCCTGCCCGCCGACCCTGTCATCTGAAAATATAAAGTGGGGGTGAGTACGATCCACTTGTACTCCATAAAAACTCATTCTAAAGTAAACATCAATATTAATAATGATATCACAGAACCTGTATATATAAGTAAACTGTAACTCCCGGAACTCTCTGGCCGGTAACTCCCGGAACACTCTGGCCGGTAACCGTGTGCACACTCTGATGGTATAACTAGGGCAAACTGGGCCACCACCAGAACTTAGGGAAGGCAAACTTGGCCTTAACCCAAAGTGGATAAAACTCATATACATACCTGAACGTGATATCGACTATTAAACTCAATGTATAACCCATACTGGGTCCCCACCTGATCGGTTTTAAAAACGAGTAAGTGCGGTTGTGCTGGTAGCTGACTCCTCAAGCTACATAAAAATATAAGCAAACAAAATATACTAAGTACTATGCTCGTCATATGCTCAATAATATGCTGGGATGCTCTACTCTATCAGATTACTCATCCGGATATAAAGGAACGCTCTAAGGGTTCACTGAAATAATTCTAAGTCCGAAAATTATACTGATATGCTTAACTGATCTTGTTTAGCTCGAAAAAATACTTAGATTTTGGAATAAGACTCGGACCGAAAATCACGAACCAAAACGGGCTCGAACCGCCGGCTAAACCGGCCGGTTTGCTAACTGGCTGAACCGGGTCGGGCTGGACCGGACCGGGTTGGTCCACCGGTTCACACTGGACCGGGTGGTCACGGGCTGCTCGGACTAGCCGAGGTCGGTCCCGTGCCGGGCCTGTTGGGGCCATGGCACGGCGCTGCTGGGCGCGGGCTGTGCGGCTGGCACGGGCCCTGGCACGACTGGTGCCACTAGGTGCAGCTGGGCACGACCGAGGGTGGCTGGGTTCTCTGGTGCGCTGCTGGCGCGAGCACGGGCACGACTGGTGCCACTCGGGTGCTACTGGGCACAGCCGAGGGTCACTGGAAGTGTTGGTGCGCTGCTTGGCACGACTGAACACAAGGTTCGACTTTTTCATTAATTTTTCTATATCCATTTCGAATGACATTGGGCATATTTATAGATGCCAAACTAAGTCTAATCCTAGTCTAAGAAGAACTCCTAACGCATGGAAATAAATAAAGTCCTAAGGAAACTAGATATCTAATGAATAAAGACTTTCCTAAACTACTTAGGCACACGCCTTTTATTTGGACTCCTAACCAAACTATTATTCCTAATTATGCTAAGTAAATCATGTGCCAATCCCCTTTGCTTGTTCCGCAACACAATCGCGCGCCCAAACCCTAGCCATCCGAGTCGCGCCGCCTTGCCATGCCTATTCCTCCTCGCACGCGGTAACGCGCGCGCGCCTTCCACGCGTTGCCCTTATCGCGCGCCTTGCGCCCTCGCCCTTTGGTCCGCGCGTGCTCGCCCCTCGCGAGAGTGCCCCGCACGTCCACTCGCTTGGTCTCACTTCCTCGATCGCTCATCGCACTGGTCGCGTCCCAGCCACGTGCGCGTGTGTCGCGCACGACTACTTCGTCGCCCCACTCGACCAGCGTCTTGCGCGTAGATCGCGCGTTGGTCGCCACCGCTCGTTTGTAGCCGGTCGCGGCGTGCGCTAGCCACCCAACATCTTCCCCTCGCACACCACTCGTTTCCCTCATTTGCCCACGGTTGATTCTCACACCGACCCCGTCTCGCTCACGGCTCCGCTGATCGGGTTCTTCGCGCCATCCTCCATTCTCGCGCTTGCGCCGCTTGTGAGCCTCCTATCGCGAACCTCTCGTCGCGTCACTGTCGCAACCTTGCCTCGCGCTTCTTTTACCAGCGCACGTCGTCACGCGACTCCCGCGTGTCGCGTGCATAGGCCTCGCGTGTTGTTCCCTCGTGCAGCATTCGCGAGCCCACTTTGCACGGCCCCGGGGGTCGTCCTGTAATAGCCCATTTTTACCTAATGTAAATTACGTACTTAGTTTCGTAATGTTCATATTATTCTCGGGACTATTAAATATTCCAGGTGTAAATAAATTTATGTTCAATCGCCCGATAAAAATATTATCGAAGCAAATCGTACTTAAACGAGCGGTAAATGTGCTAATCTTGCGCTAATCATGCATGATCATGCGCATAATCGTACTTAGTGATTCCTTAAGTACCTCAATTATGTTTATTTAAACTTAAGAGCTAATTCGATCATCATATGTTTTTAAGCATTGATCAATGCACGTCTAGGGTGCTTAATTTTCTTCTAATCGCCTTAATCTAGGGTAATCACGCATAATCATGCTCTAAACGTGTTTAGGTATTTAATGAGCTCAAGTGGACAAAAGATAGGGCAAAGTCACGTGAATTTTATCCCTTTCCAGCCAAGTGGCCTCTTTGTGCCAAGTAAGTGATGACTAAGCCCAAAATTGTACACCTCATGGCCTTAGGACGCGGCAAATGGCACGAGCCCATTGGCCGTGAGCTTTTACCTCATTTTTACTACACTTTCACGCCTATAAATCATGTGTTGGGACATATTTGTAGCTTATAACTTAAGCTATTTCCTAAGCAAACTCTAAGCAAGATTAAGATCTTTTAAATTCAACTTTACGTACGCGCACAAGGGAGAAGAAATGGGACGAACCATCACCAAAATCTTGTCAATTTTCTTCGGGCAATCAAAGGTTTGATCAGTTCACGACTATCAGCATTTCCAGTTTCATATCTTCAGTACAGGTGGGGACTCAGACTGGGTATTACATTGATTATAATTACGATATCATGTTCAAGGTATGTCAAATTATGTTTTTCCGCTTGGAATGGATGTTGGCCGGTTCAGGTCGCCATAATTCCGTTCTAAGTTCTAGTGGCGTCATCTACCACTAGTGTGTGCACATGGATTCCGGCAATCATTGTTATCATCATTATCATCATGGCAGCCGGTAGATTCACGGATTCCGGTCCGGTTTATACTGTTGATCAGGAAATTCACGGTTATGTTATATGCTTTTGATCATGATATTACTATTATTATTGCTGTTTACTTTAGTATGAGTTCCTACGGAGTACAGTGGTACTCACACCCCATTTTTATCAAAATTTTCAGGTCATGAAGTCGGTCCGGAGCTGTGAAGTTGACGGGTGGATCGAAGTTAAATATTTTGTTGTTTCGTTTTGCCACGCTATGTTCCGCTGAATTTCACTGTTTGACAAACTTTGACTTTTGATCCAATTTCATAGTCGGATTGTATATTATGTTAATCCGTTTTGCTTGTAAATTTTAAACAATTGTAACGGATTTTTAAAGAAAAAATAAATGTTTTAGTAACGCTCCAAATCATTTTCTCAAACTATTTTTAAAAGATATCTTTAAAACGTACTCTGATAATTAAGTTAGAGCGGGGCGTTACAGTTGGTATCAGAGCACGTTTCTGCGTCTCTGAATGGTTTTAAAAGTAAAAAATTTTCAAATATTCGATCACGTCAAGTTTACACTCCGCCGACTACCGGGTAAGTGCTGATACAGGTTTTAAATTATAAATAATTTACTATGTCTATGCTCAGTTATGTTATGGAAATCACTGTTATGGACTAGTTAAGGTGCTCGCATCATGCTCAGGGTTTATAGCCTAAAGTATTCATGATAGAATTGACAACTCGTCAAGAAACTTGTATGTTCCATAAATCAGTCAATGTATCTTATTCTTATACTTAATCATGTCAAACTCTTTCAACATTCAGATGTCGACTCATAGAAGTTCGGCTCATCGTGAACCTTCATAGTCCGAGGTA